ACTTAACATGGGGTAAATACACTCTTGTGGCTTGGCCTCCCCATCTCGGCTGGGAGGGCCACGCCTCCACTCTCATGGGGCTGGAGGTTCTTCCATAAGGAGCAAGATTTGCCATGAAACATGATCTGCAAGGGCTACCTTTGCGGCCAGGGAGTTTTGGCTGGGTCAGTCCTGCATAGAGCAGTGGAGGGTAGCACAGCTCCTGCCTCCACCCCAACTCAGAACCCGAATCCCCAACATCACCCCTTTCTCCCCTTCAACTAGAGCAAACCACTTTCCGCTGCTGGGCACACTGGCCTGGGGCTCACTGTGCCAGGGCCTGGTCTAGGGTTTTCTGTATGAATTTGTTCTACAATCCCAGCCACTCTGTGAGGCAGGGCTGTTCATACCCCCATTTTACAGATGGGAAAGCTGAAGCCCAGAGGACTTCAGGAAGTCACCCACCATCCTAAACACCTCACAACACCAAAATGTAAACAGCAATTAAAAAAAAATTATGCTTGCCTTCCAAAATTTTCTACAAGGAAGCCATATTATTTTTATGAGACACAGGTATATGTATATGATACATTTTATAATATGCAACATAGAAATAATAAAATACATATGTGTATGCATTTATTTGTATATGTATTATACAAATAAAATACAAAGAATAAAATAGCACCCCCCAGATGGGCTTCCAGAGCCCACTAACCTTTCGTTCTACTCTCAGGACTTCTCACCTGTCGTTATCTCTCCTCCTAGACTCTATCTTTCCACAGCTGGGGGCATCCATGGCTCAACGTGCACTTTAATAATCATGAGTAAGTGACACAACTTCTCTGTTCCTCCGTTTCCCCTTCTGTAAAATGGTGGTGGTATCTACCTTGTAAGGTGGTATGAACCCTTAGTGTATCTGTCATTTTTTTTTTTATGAGAAGCAATGCTCAGAGACATAAATGAGAGAACTAAAACTGTAAAACTCATAGAAGAAAAGATAGGAGGAATTCTTTGTGACCTTGGATTAGGCAAAGCCATCTTAGGTATGACACCAAATGTCCAGAGGACAAAAGACAAAAAATAGATGATTGAACTTCATTAAAATGTGAAACTTTTGCAGGGCGTGATGGTGCACGCCTGTAATTCCAGCTGTTTGGAAGGCTAAGTCGGCGGATTGCAAGTTCCAGGCCAGCCTGGGCAACTGCATGAGACCCTGACTCCAAAAAAAATAAATAAATAAAGGGGGGCTGGTGGCTCAGGGATAGTGCACTTGCCTAGCATGTGTGAGGAGGTCCTTTGTTCAATCCTTCTGAAACAAACGAACGACAACAAATTGAGACTTTTTTCCTTCAAAGGGCACTATCAAAAAAAGTGAAAAGTCAACCAGAAGGATGGGAAAAATACCGCAAATGATGTATCTGCTAAGGGGCGTGTGTCTAGAATAAAAAAAGAACTTTCACAACTCAATAATAATTAAAAAATGTGGGCAAAGGATCTAAATAGACATTTCTTTTAAGAAGATAAACAAATGGCCTTTAAGTATATAAAATAATGTTCAAAATCGTTAGTCCTTAGAGAAGTATAACTCAGAATCACAATGAGGTACCATTTCACAAGTCCCCAGTATGCTCATAATTAAAAAGGTGGACAATCACAAGTGTTGGCACAGATGTGGAAGAACTGGAACCCTCAGATGTTGCAGGGAGACTGAAATAGAGCAGCCACTTAGCAAGATAACCTGGTGGTGCGTGGAAGGCTAAACAGAGGTGCCATGTAACCCAGCAGTTTGAAATGACAACATGCCTCCATTCCAAAACTTGTACATGAATATCCAAGCAGCAGAATTCACAATAACCCCAAAATGGAAACCACCCCAATGTCCATCAACTGATGTGAACAAACTCAGCTTATCCACACAATGATCTATCATTTGGCAGTAGAGAGGAATGACGTTCTGGTGGGTCTAGTGTGGGTGGACCTCAGAGCAGCCTTGAGACAGCCTGTCTCCATTTGTTGGCAGCGGATAGAGTTTTGGAAGGGAATTCTGGTAAGCATTTTGACAATACTAATAAAAACAGTAATAATGGTAACTACTATTGAGTGCTCGGTTTACGCTCAACACTTTTTTTTTGCTATCTCATTTCAGATTTATGATGTAAATCTTTTGGGGGGAGTACCAGGGATTGAACTCAGGGCCACTGAGCCACTGAGCCACATCCCCAGCCTCATTTTGTATTTTATTTAGAGACAGGGTCTCACTGAGTTGCTTAGAGCCTTGCTTTTGCTGAGGCTGGCTTTGAACTCCCGCTCCTCCTGCCTCAGCCTCCAGAGCCTCTGGGATTACAGGCGTGTGCAAAACCACGCCCAGCAATGAGGTAAATATTATTATCTCCATTTCACCACTGAAGGAACTGAGGCCAAAGAGCAAAGGTCAGATCTTAGATGGGGCTTGAGTTTGCACCCTTAGCCTCTCTGGTGAGGGGCTTCCTGGTGTGGGGCCGCCTGCTCATTGGCCACTCTCTCTCTAGCACCTGCTGTGGCCCCCCTGTGGCAGGGGCTCAGGATCAATTTGGCAAATGGGGGCAAATGGCGTAGCGGGGAGGGGTCTGTGGGTCCAGGACTCCGTCCTGCCAGCATCCCTGAGGGAGGGGGCTTCCTCCTGGGGAGCTCTCTGGGCCAGCCACTGGACACCGAGCCAGGGTCCTCCATTCTATTAGGCTGGCCTTGGTCGTTCTAGGGAAACGGGCCTGTCCAGTGAGAGCTGGGGGCGAGGAGCTATTTTGGGAGAAGGCAGGGTTGTGGCATCTGAAGCATTCTCCCTCAGGAAGACACTTGGCTGCCCTGTCCCCATCACCACCTCTGTAGCGGCCAGAAACATTGGCAGAGGCCTGAGCTGGGAACAATGATCTGCCCAGTCTGCCAAACCTCTTTGTTCTGAGGATTATTTTTTTTTTTTTCATTCTAAAGTGAAAAAAAAATGGTGACATTTAGTATACGCAGGATTTTTGGTTTAATCCTCTCCAAACAAACTGTGCTTCTTCCTGATTTTTATTTACAAGCATCTACACAGCACTTGGTGTGTGCCCACCACTGTCCCAGGGCCGTGTGGGTGCTCGCCGACGTGCTTTCTCCTCTGTCTTTTCCTCTGAGCTAGGTGCTGTTACTATTCCCACTTTGCAGGAGAGGAGACTGGGTCTCAGGGAGCTCAGACCTCTCAGGGTTGTGAGAACAGAGTCTGGATCTGGCCCGACCAGCTGTCCCTGTTAGCCATGCCATGGTGTCACTTAGACGCTTGCTCTGAGCTCCTGTTTAACGACTGATTTCCAGAAATGAGGCCCAGTGGGCCCGGCAGGACTGGGTTATTAGGGTGCAGGATCCCCAAGTGGCTGCTGGGACCTGTTCCTCCCCAAGCTTGGTCCCTGCCCACAGAGAATAGGGCTCAACCTACCTCGGTGTGGAGCTCGGAGGGATGTGGCTCAGGGTAATGGGTAAGAGCTTGGGCACATTCGATTTCTAACTGTGTGACAATGAGAAAGGTATGTTTTGGAAAAACTCAGTTCCTGTAGAAGCATCAGTCACCAAAGGTAGAAGGTGCCGTGAGACCAAAGAAAGACACAGACGGGTCCAAAGGATCACAGAAAGCACAATTTCTTAGGATCCGCAGACAGAAGTGTGCCTAGGACAGTGGCAAGGCAAAAGAATCCCCTCACTCCAAGGCAGGAGGAAGGAATTTATATGTGAAGCAAAACAAAGGTGGGCTGCGGCCAAGCGCTATTTACCTGACCTTTCTCAAAAGCTATTAACGTGCCAAATGTCACTTAAGAAACAGTCCAGGCATCAGTGCCTGGCACAACATGCTTGGTTGACTCTCTTAATGACTTGTTTGTCCTATAGGGTTTGGGATGAGTGCCAGGGTCACCTGGAGGGCAAGATGGCGGCTATAACCAAGATGGCCACAGTCTTGTTAAGCTGGATACTGTAATGTAATTACACATCTCTAGGTCACAGCTATCAAGAAGGCCATAGCACAGAGCTGGGCACAACGTGCTCAACGAATAACCCCAATCAATGCTATTAGTTTTAATAGTAGAAGAAACATTTGTGGAGGCAATGCGTCAGAACAGAGGGTGGTAAGCTTTTTCTGAAAAGGACCCAGATGGGAAATATTTTTGGCTTTGCTTGTCGTGCAGTCTCTATGGCAACCACCTAACTCCAGACAGTACATAAACGGATGAGTGTGGCTGCGTTCCAATAAAACTTTATATGGATACTGAAATTGGAACTTCATATACTTTTCATGTGTTACAATATATTACTCCTTTGTTTTTTTCAATCCCTTAAAAATATAATAAGAGTTCTTAGTTCAAGGGCAGTCAGACACAGACCAGGAGCTGGATTCAGCCTGCAGCTGGCACTGTCTGAGTCCTGCTTTAGAATGTGATTTCCATGAGGGAGCTCACAAAGATGCCTGTCGAGTCCACAGCGCCGTGGACTCATGGTAGACATTCCATAAATTGTATGAATAAATGGACCAATGAGTGGTCAGGGGTCTTTAGCTGGCCCTTTAAGGTTGTAAGTATGGAGGGAGGAGAAGGACATTCCAGGTTGGGGGAACAGCCTGAACAAAGACCTGGAGTCAAGATGAATCCAGTGAGTGTCCCCTTCTAGCCTCATGAAGCCACCAATGCATGGTGAAGACAACTGGGAAACAAGACCAGCTATAACCAAGCAGCGAGGGACCTGAGGATGGGAAAGGAAGCTATGGGATGGGGAGGTAGTGGTGCATGCGCCCCAAAGTGGTTCTGTTGAGTGATAGCCCTGCCCCATCCCAGAACCATCAGCCTTATTTTTAACCCTGCTGACGAAAGATAATCCATCTGAATGCCATCAAGAAGAGTGGCTTCTCCCTGCCCCACCCGCTGACCCAGTTACTGTTCCCCTCACTTCCCAGCAGGCTCAGAGCCATCCCAGAAGACCCTCGCCCAGAGGCATCAACCTCCATGTGGCGAGTAGTCAGAGAAGAGGTGGTCCCTGTGTCATCCTGGCAGGGCCTAGACCAGGGAGGGCTCATGGTGCTTAAAGAAAGCATTTGAGGCTCCCAGGGCCCGGGCAGGCTGATCACCTCTCTGTCACGCTTCTCTGTCTTTGGTGAGCCTCGGGTGTCTGGAGGGCTTGTGGAACACAGGTTCCTGGGCTCCTCCCCCTCCGATTGAGACTCAGAAGGTCTGGGGTGGATCCTGAGAACCTGCATTACTGACAAGCTGGTGAGGATGCTGGAGGGTGTGCAGGGCCACCCTGTGAGTGGCACCCGACTAGAAGCAGTGGCCTCTGGGAGACAGCAGCTCTGCCTGCCCTTCATCTGGGGGCTGCCCTGCATGCCCCATCAGGATTGCCTCACGCAGAGGAGGTGGGAAGCTCTGCAGACGGTGTGGAGTGTTTGGGCTTTGCTTTGAGCACAGCAAGAGGGCTTGCAAAGACCTGAAGCAAGAGGTGAGGCCTGGGAATGTACACGGGCAGGCACAACCCCTGTGTACTGCGTGGGCTGGGGCTGGGGGGGGGGCTTTGCCAGGATAGGCAGGAGTGGGTGACTGATTGGCTTTGGGGTTGAAGGAGATGGGGAGGAGGGTGTGGGAGAATACTGGGATTCCTGGCTTCCAGGCTGGGAGCCCAGAAGCCACCCTGAGGTTAGAGAGGATGGGGGTTGGGGAGAGGGCTAGTAAGGGGTTCTATGGCCAGTGCCAGGCTGATGGAGGTGGGCAGAGGTCCCATGCGTGCCTGCTTCCAATGCGGCAACCCTCATGTCTCGGGCTATGTGGCCACCCCCATCTCCACTCCTGTGCCGGCTGCCCTGGTTCCAGCCTGGAGTCCTGCAACCCAGCTTCGCTAAGGATCAGGAAATGAGCGTCATTCAGCTCACATGACCAAAAAAGGGCATCTTCTCAGCTGGAAGTTTCGCCTGCCTTGCGCTTTCCCTCCCCCACTGACCTGGGGTTTCAGGTTCCCCTGGAAGTGGCTCTGAAGAGTTTAGGACTTTGTCTCACACAAACCCACGCGCAGGCCAACGTGAGCCTGCCGCTCCGCACGTACCACCTTGAATTTCGATGTTGCAAATGTCACCCTGTCCTCCTATACCACCGCCACCACTTATTGTCTCACCAGCAAAGTCATCACCACCCCCTTCACATTCACAGCAGCTCCACCAGGGGAGAGCTGTCACCTCCACTTTACAGATGGGGAAACTGAGGCACGGAGAGGAAAGCCGCGCACCCAAGGTCCAGTGGGGTCAGGGCTGGGGAGTCGTGGGGGAGGGAGGGACGCCAGCACGGCGTCCCATCAGTCTCTGTGAAACATTTTCTAAATAATTTACTTACCCAGGATTTCAATTTTAACTTTAAATATTATATGAAAATATGATTTAACTCGATCACTGAATTTTTCCGCATCTGAGAGCCCCTCACACTGCACCCTAACCCCAGACGAGGCAGAGCCAAAATCAGAATCCAGGGCTGCTGATCCCCGATGTGCTCTCACCTATTCCCAAGCCCCCACCCCCATCCCGCCCCCGTGTGTGTGTGTGTGTGTGTGTGTGTGTGTGTGTGTGTGTGTGCGTGCGCGCTCCTGGGCTGCTCTCTTGGTTCAGTGAACCCTAGCCTGACAGGGTGGCATGGGGGAGAGGACAGCGGCTTGAATGTCTGCTGGCCTGGGTGTGAGATTCTAACCCCCTGCTCATTGCTGAGTGGAGTGGAGCCTGTGTCCAGGGGCCCTGCTTCCTGGGTGCCTCAGCTTGAATCCTCATGCTGCTGCTTCCTGGCTGTGGGAAGTAGAGAGCCCTGGGCACGCCATGTGAGATACTATTTTGCATCTTTGAGCAAGATAGCTCTCTGAGCTTCAGTCTCCCTGCCCATGATATGGGGAAGGATGGAAAAAACCTCCTATGGACAGTTTTGAGGATTGAGAGGGATGACAAAAGGTAAGGGGCCTGGCACATAGTAGGAGCTTCAGGGAATCCATCTTCTTTACTGTGGGCCCAGTGTGTGCTGGAGACACTCCACTCCCCGAGGAGTTGACCCCTCTCCTGGCTCTCACTCCACCTTGTGTTCTCCAGGGAAGTCCAGCTGTCACCCAGGTCAGGGCCTTAGAGTTTGCTCGCCTCTCTGCCCAGCTCACAGCCTTCCCCACCTCTGCTAGGCCCAATGGATGTGTGTCTCCAGGTCCCAGCTTGAATGTCCCATCCTCAGGGAAACCTCCTGTGCCAACCCACACTCTGCCAGTCTCTAGGAAGGCTCACTGTCCAGGGTCTCCAGTGTCTTCTATGCTCTTCCTCATTGGCACATCTCCATGATTGTAAATAAATACTTTTTATTTGATTATGTTTGATTTAATGGTGTGTGTGTGGGGGTGGGGTCTGGACCTTCTTGTCCACAGGAGTGGACAAGGAGTCTCAAGCCTCAGCTTTTGGCCACCGTCTTCCCATGCTCAAGAGCAGCATGAGCACCCAGGTGAGGGTTCAACATCCCGACTCCTGCCCTCCTGACTCTGTGACCCTGGGCAAGTCACTTAACCTGTCTGTGTCTCGGTTTCCATTTGTAAAGAGGGTGAACAACAGCACCAGCTTCCTCAGATGTTATGATATCATGGCAGATGATCTTACTGGTTCCCTTGGTGCCGGAGTGGAGCACCCAGCCTGTCCTGTTGGTAAACGGGGCCGCTATTACTGTAGCTAGACTGGCAGCTGAAACAGACATCTCTCAAATCTCAGGTGCTGCTCTTGTCACATTCCAGTGTAGGACTGTGGGAGGGGCTGTCAATTATGCACTTGGGTTCCTTCCACTCCATTTCTTACTTTGGAGTCCACCAGGGATTCTCTGGGTAGAATGTGGAGGGTCCATGAACTTGAATGGTGTTTCAGGTTACAGTCCCTAGAAACATGGCATGAGATGGGGACTCCTGAGCCAGAGATTTATTGAGGGCATGCTTCCAGGAAAGAGGTGTGGGAGCATCAGGAGGGACGGGGAAGGAGCTGAGTGAGCCTGTGGTCTCCTTTGGAGCCCTGCCTGAAGCTGAGGCCTCTGGAGCAAGGATTTGTGCCCCAGGGTTGCAGTGGGTTGCTCTTGGAGTGAGAGGGGGCTGATTGGTGTCAGCCAGGCACTGGTGTGAGCTGCCTGGGCAAAGGGTAGAGGGAGTGGCATTTTAAACTTGTGGAACACAGTGGTTTCTGTTGGTTGCAATCCTTGGGGTAGAAATGAGCCATTAGCAGCCCACACTCACGACAGCTAGGGGGCAGGTGCAATTTGCCCAGTAAAGGGATCTGGGCTGGGCACCAAAAGTATCTACTAGAGGTGGGGAAAAGTGTTATTTTTTTTTTTTTACCAACTTCTAACTAAAATTCAGCATTTTCTTCATTTGTAGAAGTAGGCAATAAGCCATGATACCGTTCTCAGTATCTGTGACTTTGTTGTCAATGGAAATCATACATATTTTCATATCACATTACTGTTGCAGATATCTTTGAAATATCCTTTATGCTACTTTATACTTGAAAATTATGGTAGTTAGTAGGCCTGATAGACATTTTGTTTAATGTGTTAATAAAGAAGGACATACATTATTATGTTGCAAATTTGTTATTTTAAATATTTTGGTGACAGTGTGTGGATATAACTGCAGATTTCCTTTGTAATCCCATGAATTTTGTGCATTTTAAAAGCATTGTTCTGAGATGGATCTACAGGCTTCACCAGACTGCCAAAGGACTCTGTGACGCAAAAGGTGTTAAACGCCCTGTCGTGGGACGTTGGCCTCTTCTGCATGCAGCCAGCAACAGGGAAAAGGTTTTATGGCCAGGCCTGAACAGCGCACACACCAGAGCTTCCCATAACGCACGGGCCAGAGAGTCACCCCATCATACCTAACTGCAGGGGAGCCTGGGACATGAGGTCTCTCGTGCCCAGAAAGTAAAGGAAATGTTCTGGGCACAGGCTTGGATAAATATCCATGGACAGCCTGAGTGAGCGAATGCTGGGTCCAGGTGTCTCTGCATGGCATGGGGAGAAGAAACAAGAACTATTTTTCTGGTGGGACCCTAAGTGTTCTTCCCTATTGTCTCCTTAGGACAAGCCACGCCAGGGCCAAAGCCGAGGCATCGGAACAGGCTGCTCTGGCCGCCAACCAGGAGTCGAACATTGCCCGCACTCTGGCCAGGGAGCTGGCTCCGGACTTCTACCAGCCAGGTAGGGCCACTGGGCGATGGGCACTTTTTTTTTTTGCTTGCTGGGAAGCTGAGATACTTCAGTAGGCTCATGAATGCTTGCAAGTTTTGGAAACTGTGAGGCATGATGCAGACAAGGTATGGGACAATGAAAAAGGACACGGAGGAGACACATCTCTGCCTGCATGCCTGTCCCTGTTGGTTGGGGCTGGTGAAGCTTAGAGAAGTGGTAAGTCTCTGATGGATGCCGGGGCAAACGGGGCTTCCTGCACCTGCTCAATACTTTGTCAAGCACTAATTGAGCACTGCCTGTGTGTCAGGCCTGTGCTGGGCTCCAGGGCCACTCAAAGACAGCATGGGGTGAGGCACACAGGCTGCAGGTGTTCAAATCCTGACTCTGCTGCTCACCAGCTGTGTTACTTCGTGCAAGGCAACTGGTAAACCTCAATTTCACGCAGTATGATGAGTGCTGTGTGACAGATCAGGTCCTTCAAAATTGATCTTGACACAGACTGCTGGGCCCACCCCTCCTCCAGGTCCTGATTGTAGGTCTGGGGTGGAGCCCATGTCTAGAGGACCAGGCAGGGCCAATGCTGCTGGTCTGGGGCCACACTTTTGAGAACTACTGCACCAGGTGGTACTGGGTGGGACAGTTGAATGGAAAGAACTGCAGGCCCAAAAGCACAGGAGCTTGGAACAGTTAGATGGGGAGGCACGCAGCGGGAGGTGGGGAGCGAGGCTGCAGAGTAAGGAGGACCAATGGCTCTGACAGACTGCACTGCAGTAAGGGAGCCCAAGTGACACTAGATAGAAGACCCAGGAGTGCAGTCTGTGCCCAGAGACGTCCCTTCTGGTCACAGTGCTCCCCCTGCTGGCTCAGGAAGAGTGTCACTAGCTTGCCTTGGATAGTGGTAGCCATGGCTGTTACTGTGCCAGGGTCTGAGCTTGTCATTTTGCACACATTTTCTAAATTTATCCTTCCAGTGCTATTTATGAAATAGGTATTACTAGGCCCATTTTTCAGTCAAGGGGATGTAAAGAGACCAGTGTCCTAGTTAAAAGCATCACATCTGCCCTTTGCTGTGTGACATTGGGCTAGTGATTTAACCTTTCTGGGTCTTTTCTTTCTTCATCTGGAAATCGGAGGTTTTCAATAGCACCAATCTCATAGGGTTATCAAAACGAACGAGTTCATATTAGGAAATTGCTCAGGCCAGGCAGAGTCTGGTATCAGCTCATGCCCTGAGTGCTGGCTGAGTAAATGAGTGAGGCTCAGGAGGTGACGTGCCTGGCCCAGGATCATCCAGCGGTGGGGTTCGCACGCAGCCTCCTTGTGTTGCCCCGGCAGGTCCGGAATATCAGAAGCGCCGGCTGCTGCAGGAGATCCT